ACACACACAGAGACACACAGAGACAGACACACAGACACACACAGACACAGAGCTCGAGGTTGTGAGCAGAAAGGCCTGCCTGCATCTCTGAGTCTTCAGCACAAGAATGGAAAAGCCCTCGGGGCAGGAGCAAGCCGGGGCAGAGAGCAGGCAGGCCAGGGCCCTCCCAGAGGTCTGTGCCCGCAGGCTTGCCCACCCAGCGCCTAGCTGGGAAGGGCCCCAGCCAGTGTGCCCTCCTCCATGGGAAGTGCGGCCACTTCCGGGCAGCGGCCGCCCCAGGGTATTCAGGAACATGGAGCCTCTGCTGGCTGCCAGCCTCTCCCAGCTCCAGGTGTCCCCAGCCCACACCTAAGAAGGCTGAGCGGAACTTGGGAGGGCCCCGCTCCAGAGGCCCAAGGGGAGAGGCCCCGGCTCCCCCTGCCTTGGGGACAGGTCACCCCGGGTCTCCATGCCACGTGGGGCCCACCCTCCTCTACTGGGACCCGGCCCTGCCAGCAGCCCCTGAGCCTGAGGCTCGGCTCCACGGTGCCAGGTGAGAAGCTGCACCCACCCTTCACCGACTCGCCTCTATTCTGGAATGTAGCAAATCTAAGTTGTTAAATGATTTATTTTCCGCAAGCATGCATTTTCCCAGGGAAAAATGCACCCCTCTCCGACCTTGTAGTTTGTCCTGATTTGCTCTCAGGCAAAAACGTCTGCCCTTGGGGGGTGGGGCCCTGTATCACCCACCCTAGAGGACGGGCCACCAAAGCTGGCTGGGTGGGCACCCTGGCACCAGGTGGAGTGGGGTGCCTCGCCCGGGGGAGGGGACCCTCACCGAGTCACACCATCTGGTGGAAGAGCTCAGAGCGAAGCTTTCCCACTTCTGGTAACTGCCCTCTGCTCCGCGGCTCTCCTTTCACTAGTGAAACTGTTTCATTTTGGACTTCCTCTTGGGAATCAGAGTCCCAGCCGTGACAGCAGCCGGGACAGCAGCGTCTCTGTCAGAGCTTTAGGATTCATGGCCCGTCTTGCAGGCTTGGCAAGGAGCCTGGACAGAGTAAGGAGCTTCCCTCCAGTGCGTGTGTTTGCTTGTGACATGCAGGGCTGCAGGGGGACCCGGGTCTCTGCGACAGGAGATCTCCCACGCCAATTCTTTCTTCCTGCTTTGCTTCTCTGGAGGAAAATCAACTATCACCCATCTTCCGCAGACAGGCCAGTGAGTGAATCCACAGGGGCCCCTGTTCCTGGCCCACGCCAGACGGTGCCTGTGATGAAAGCATCTGGACTGGGGGGTGCCCTACCCCCACCGGGAGCCGTGGCTACGGACCACGTGGGAGCCACGCAGATGCTGTGGCCTGAATGCTTGTGGCCCCCAAATTCGTATGTTGAGGCCTAACCCCAATTAGGGAGGTGGGGCCTTTGGGAGGTGATTGGGTCACCAGGGTGGAGCCCTGGTGAATGGGATCAGTGCCCTCATAAAAGGGACGGCACAGAGCTGTGTCCCACCGTGTGAGGACACAGAACCTGGATGTGGGCCCTCACTAGAACCCAACCATGCTGCCACCCTGATCTCAGACTTCCAGCCTCCAGAGCTGTGAGAGAGAAATTTCTGCTGTCTATAGCCACCGTCTATGGTGTTGATGTTTTCTCACAGCAGACCCCAAACGGACTAAGACACCGGGCCTGCCAGAGGCATCAGCTCTCAGACCAGGCTGAAAAGAAACAGGGTAACTGAGGCCCATGGAGGGTGTTTCCAGGCCTCGGGGCCCAGGTCGGCCCACAGGTGAGGTGCAGAAGGCCGGGCCCAGGGTGGGAGGGCAGCAGACCTCCGGGGGGCCCTGCTTCTCGGCATCCCCCGGCACCCTGATGTGGTATGTGAGGGGCGGTCAGGAGCGCTTCCTTGGAGCCCGCGGCCTCGACGTGGCAGATAGGGCCCAGAGCATGACCCCGGGCTCCAGTGGGCACGTGGCAGGAGCTTCCTGTGCTCCCAGGCCCCTCCCCCCAGACACGGTCACACGGCCCCACATGGCCCCCCCCCCCCCCCCCCCCCCCCCCCGCCGCGCCCCGGCCCCCAAGGGCCCCCCCCCCCCCCGAGCTCCTGGAACGTGGCCGACAGGAGCCATACTCTGCGTGCAAAGGCCCAGCCTGAAGAGAAGAATGTGCGGAAACGTGCTAATAACTGACATACGATTCCACGGTGAAACGTAATATGTCAGATATGCTGGGTTGAAATGAAATATATTTTCATGATTAACTGCACCTGCGTCTGTCACCTCTTCAGAGGTGGCTACTGTACATTCTCAACGACGCGAGCGTAGGGGCGGGCAGGCAGACAGACAAAGGCTGGGAGGGCGAGGGCAGGTCGGAGGAGGGTGTGGCGGGGACAACCGACCGTAGACCCGGGGCAGCATTGGAAGGTTCTCTCCCTGGAGGTCGGCTCCCAGGACCCTGTGCTGCAGGGCGTCCTCGGGCAGCTTTGCGAAGGCCCATCGCCCACAGTTGCCTGAAGCCCTGCACGGCCCCGGGTCTCGGCAGCGTCCTCGCTGCCCAGCTGGCCAGCCGCTCTCATCGCGTGGGGAAGAGAGGCTGCTATTCGGGGCGACCGGCCACCCCGGGCACCCAGCAGCGGATGGGTCCCTCAAAGGAGGCTGTGGTCCAGGAGACTTGGGGCAGTCCTTACCAATCGAGGGGCAGGCCGGGCGCCCAGGCCTGGGGACGCCAGAGGGACACTGGCCACACTCACCAGCCGCAGGACAGCAGACCCCGGGCAGCTGGGGTCGCTGGGCGTGGGTGCAGAGTCGGGGGCATATTCCTCTCCCCGAGGGTCTCGGGGGCCCCTCCCCAGCCCAGGAGCAGCCCGTGGGGCACGTGGGCACCCAGGAGGGGAGCTGGCTCCACCGTCTGCCTAGGCCGGGCCTGGGTCTCCCAGGCCAGAGAAGCTGCCCCTTGTCCCTGCCCCAGGGCTTGGAGCTCCAGCACCACCTTCACCCCCTGACCCCAACTCCCCCTTCAAGGCCACTCAGTGCCACTAAATCGGGACGTCCACCAGCCGGGCAGCAGCTCAGGAGACCCGGGTTCAAGTCCCTGCTCGGAGCTCACTGTCACGCAGCCGATGACAGGGGCTGGACGGCCCGTCTGTCCTCCGATGCGGGGCTGGTGCCCGGAAGTGAGCCCCGCATGGGCCAGACACGGGGGAAGCAGCTCAGGGAGCCCATCCTGGCAGCTCCACCACGCAGCCTCTGCATGAATCGTCAGGAACCTGCCCCACCTCGGCCTCAGAGCCGCCCACCCCCCCCCCCCCCCCCCCCCCCAACCTCGGCCTCAGAGCCGCCCCCCCTACCCCCCCACCCCGCTCCTGGACAGGTGACCGTCAACGCAGGGCTGAGCTGGGAGGAGGATGGCGTGGGCTCGGCTGGCCCCAGAGAGGGAGACCCCTGTGCACGGGGGTTGCCGGGAAGGCCAGCTCAGCCGTGCCTGGCCTGGGTGGGGTGACCGGCAATGTGGTCAGGGGGGCTTGGCCACGGAGGGGTCCCAGGCACTCCCGAGGGGGAGGGAGGAAGCAGCGGGGGAGGAGCCGGGCTGCGCCCCTTCTCCAGGGCCTGCTGAGCCGCTCCCAGGCCCTGGATGCCCGACTGGGGCTCAGTCGTGTCAGGGCCCGGTGCCGCTGTCTGGGCAGTGGGCGGCAGCAGCCTGGGAGGTGCCCACTGCCTGAGAATGACCCCAAACAGGTCCCGTGTCCCTGACTCCTGGTCCCCTTCCCGCCCCCCCTCACCTGGGGGGGGTCCCTAAATTCCTGCACTCTCCCCCTCCCCCACCCCTCCCCCCACCTTCTCCTTCTGAGCGGCCAGATGGGCCAGAAGCCGCCTCCGGAGCTGTGAGCAGCCAGCTCTCTCCCTGGGCTGTTGCCCCAGCCAGGGCCCTCCCACCCTCCTGCCAGCATCCCAGCCCGGGGCCTGCGGAGTGGCCCAGGGGGTGAGGCCCAAGGAGGGGAGATGGAGGCGGCAGGAGTGGAGGCAGGCTAGCCTCAGTGGCCCCAGGGGCTGAGGCAGCAGCCTGGGTGGATACCGACCGGCCACCAGCCGGCTTCCAGCCACGTCCTGCTGGGCCCCAGCTTGGCTTTAGCCCGCCCCGTGTGGACACAGAGGCTCGGTCAGGGCTCCGCAGACGGGTGTTTGACCTCCCTGCAAGAACGGGTAGGGGTCTGTTGGGGCAGGGGTGGTGGGCACAGGCAGGAAGCTGGGCTACAGGTGGGAGTAAGGCCAGTTCAGAGAAGTGATTCCACGGGGCCACAGGCCCCACTGGCCGGATAGTCCCCTGCAGGCCTCAAAGGGGACACTCAGGACCCGGGGCTGCCCTCTGGCCTGGGGGGTTGCCAGGCCCCTGAGGGCCCTGCGACACCCAAGGCAGAAGCAGCTCAGCACCCAGGGCAATGGGAGTGGGTGGGGCCTGGGGGGGGCGTCCCTGCTGCTCCTGCCTCTTGGATGGTGAAGCCCAGGGATCTCACGTCAGAGAGGTGGCCCGGCCCCCTCCTGCCCCCCTGGGCCAGACAACAGACAGCTGTGCCCTGAGCAGCTGCTGCCCCAAACGTGGCAGTGGAAAGAAGACACAGGCCCTCTGCCAGGGGCTGGCGTCCCTCGAGCTGCCTCAGGCTGACGCCCCGTGACCTGGGGTTGCTGCTGGGACCTCTGGTGGCCATAGTCCTGGATCCCAGTAAGACTCAGGTAAAATAACTTCAGGTGCAAGGCCCCTGGGGGCGGGGGTGGGAGGGAGGAAGCAGCTTCCTGCCTGTGCCCACCCTGCCCCAACAGACCCCTACTCGTTCTTGCAGGGAGGTCAGACACCTGTCTGCTGAGCCCTGACCGAGCCTCTGTGTCCACACGGGGAGGAGCTAAAGCCTTTGTGCCCTTGTGAAGAGAGGAGGGGGCTGAAGGGGGAGGGAAAAGAGGAGGATAACAGGCGGGCGGGGGGGGGGGGGGGGGGAGCGGGGGGGGGACCCAGCTGAGGCCCAGCAACACCTCTGATGGGGATGCCCACCCCATGAGCCACACCGGGACACCCAGGCCAGCCTGAGGACAGCCCCTGCCTGAGGAGGTCTCCAGGGAGGCGGTCAGAGCTTTCTGCATCAGGCTTCCCTCACAGCAGGTGGTCAGAAATGGCTCACACAGAAATGGGGGTGACGCGGTGGGGGCCTAGAAGGCCAGGCTCTGGCCAGCAGATCTGCCGTAAGCAGGCAAGAGACCACTGGAGCGAGGAGCTGGCCCGAGTGGGACAACAAGCGGCACTGGCCCACCCTCTCCACCCAGAGGGGGAGGGGAGGGGGGGG